CACTCACACTCTTGTGTGACATTTATTTTCCTTGTCTGGAAAATACAAGTATCATCGTAAACCTGGTGGTCTTCTGATTTCACTCTTTCCGCGTCAGGACTATTAACTACTCGACCAGTACATAACAATAATTGGCGACGGGGAAAACTACTAATAGCTCACTCAGCAGCAGTACGTAACAGGAGAAGACAAAGAAAACTATAAAACTCAAGTTTCAAAGTCGTGTGATTACAATTGAAATGTGCGTCGGTGGCACAGTGGTTGGGACTCTCGCCGACCATGCACATGGTCCGGGGTTCGAGCCCACGTCGACGCCCACCTCATATCTATGGTCGGCCTGCGAATTTTGGGCTACCGATATCCACGCTGAAAATTCCACACTTGTACCGAAAATACGGGGTGTAATCAAGCTGTAATCAAAAAAATAAAAATAAATTATGAACAATACGTATTGTTCGAAACGTCATCCAGTAAATAATACTGTTTCACTGTGTGATACATCTAATAAACAATCTAATACGGAATTAATTAGAGGGTTTCATGATTTGAAGAGAGAAAGAACGAACATGTTTGCAGGATAATACGAGCTCGTTTTATTTCGTGGATACTCATGAATTGCATACATCCTAAACAAAATCAAATTATAAGTTTCAGAAAAGTTTTGGAACATACTTTTTCATAATTACTTGGAGTTATAAATGGAAGGTATAAGGAACATAATTCCGGAATTTGATGTAGGTAGACAGATTATTCAGTGTTAAAAAAACTAATTATATATAGTGGAATTAGATAAGAGGGTTTAGAGTGCAGATTTCTTGAAACGACGTCTCCCTAAGAAATCAATCAAGTCACTGAACCAATTAGTGATGTTACGTTTCAAAATAGCGAGAGAAGCCTGCAAGATTAAATTCTACGAAGAGTGTTTGGAAATAGGCTGTTTTCCACGCCAATTCCTGAAACTCATCAGATCAACGAAACTACCTCAAACCTTAAAGAACCTGCGCCGCATCACTAAATCACATATCAACTCATCTCAAAAACACATCAACGCTTTAAGGCCAAATCTAGTGAAATTCGACAGTTTACTGGAAAGCCTTAATTTGGTGTGTCGTATAAAGTGCATTAACTTCATGCAAGATTTACAATCGCAAACAGCGAACTAATATGGAAAGAAGCTCAGAAAATCTTTAGTAGTTGAACAACTACAAGAAGAATTTCCAGTGTCCAGAAAAATACATATACAATTTGTCAGATGTGAAACTTAATAAAATTAAAACTGAAACTCTGTCCTTAGGATTTAAGTATCACGTACCAAACTCGTTTATCAACAGAATCGATACAGAAACGCAGTTTGAGTATTTATACAGTCAACTTTCCGACTTAAAACCCATAGACGAGGATAAAAGAGTCTGGTTTAAGTCCAAAATGATTGATATTGCAGAACAACATCAGATTTCTCCTCCAGCACACTCAAAATTATTTACTAAAGAACACAGAACAGCAATAAAAAACCTATGAAACAATGAAAACATCGTCATTCTCAAACCAGACAAAGGTTCAGGTGTCGTAATAATGAACCGCCGAGACTACATCTCTAAAGTGAAAACCATTCTCGATGATACAATAAGATTCCAAGTCGATATGTCGAAAAAAGAAGCAACAACGGCCTTCGAAAATAAAGTAAACAAGTACCTTAAAGGACTACTGAAGGAAGGGCTAATAGACAACAGCACTTACAACGACCTTAAACCAAGGGGTTTGCGTGTACCATTCATGTACGGTCAACCCAAAGTCCACAAAAGTGATGTACCAATGAGACCTATAATATCAATGGTGAAATCACCATGTCATAAACTGGCCAGATGGTTGGCCCAAAAGCTGGAACCCATTCGAAAGAAGCTGGCAACTCACAGTATCAAAGATTCTTTCCAGTTTTCACAAGAATTAGATCAACTGGATATTTCAGATAGACTTCTCTTGTCATACGACGTTTGTTCATTATTTACCAGCATACCCATTGAAGAAACGGTAAAAATCATATGCCAACAGTCCGAACTGCTTCCTCTTCCAGAAAACGAGCTACGAAAATTGCTACTTCTATGCACAAAGAATATTCAATTCCGATTCAACAATCAGCTGTACCGGCAGATTGACGGGGTGACTATGGGTTCACCTCTGGGTCCTGTTCTTGCTGACATATTCATGGCTCATCTTAAACAGACTCGAATGAAAGCAGATATGTCGACGACACGTTTGTGGTCTGCAATGATATATAACACGCGTCTGCAATGTTTGAGAAACTCAATGCAGCTCATCCCAACATTGCATTCACAATTGACTACGAAAGAAACAACCAATTCCATTTCCTTGATGTCAACATAAAAAGAAGAAACGACGGGACGATTCAAAAATCTATCTACAGGAAAGATACCTGGACTGGTCAATACTTAAATTATCACAGCTTTTGCCCAACCAGCTACAAACGATGTCTACTAAAAACGCTCTTCAGCAGAGCCAAAGAAATATGCTCGGAAGACACTATTGAAGAAGAACTCACTGTCACCGAAAAGAACCTCATCGAGAATGGATATCCCCGAAAGTTCATATTAAAGTATAGAAATGAAGAAACATACAAACCGAAACCTGACACCGTTGAAAAGAAACCAGTTTTCATTTGCCTAGCGTACAAAGGGGAAGACGTATCCACAAGAACACAAAAAAGAATCACAGGTGCATTAAAAAGAACATTTCCAGCTGCCAGACTGATCCTATTTCACAACACTGTGTGCTCGTTAACCCAGTCAAAAGTAGATGAGTACCCTATTCACGTCAACTCCAACTGCAATTACCAATTCACTTGCACCTGCGGAAGCAAATACATAGGAAGGACTGAGAGGAGAACATTTACTAGATTTTCTGAGCACATTCCCAAGAGCCTCCGTACAAAAGGAAGAAAAGTGTTATCGAGTGCAATCGCCAGACATTTAATTGACACAGGACATACAGTAGAAATCAGCCAAGCCTTCAAAATAATCAATAATCAAAGAAACCCATGGCTGCTTCGTTTCGCAGAAGCCATCGCTATCAAGAGACTTCGACCAGACACCTGTACACAGAAAGATAGTGTGACTAACCTTTCACTACCCTGGTAACCCTAATCCTATTTTATTTATTTTTGTTTTGCCTTTTTGTCAGTATGCCTGTGTGTCTGTCTTGTTACGAAACATTTTATTCAATTTTGACCTTCAAGTTTCTCAATCTACTTAATTGTCTGTTTAAGTTAAAAAATGTTACTTCACTATTCACCCCAACCCTCTTAAACTCCCCACCATAAAATGTATAAATTCACTCTTTCCTCTGAACCTGACCCTATAATACGCCTCTAACCAATCTCTGTGTTTTCAAATAGAAATCTGAAATCTAAACCCTCTTATCTAATTCCACTATATATAATTAGTTTTTTAACACTGAATAATCTGTCTACCTACATCAAATTCCGGAATTATGTTCCTTATACCTTCCATTTATAACTCCAAGTAATTATGAAAAAGTATGTTCCAAAACTTTTCTGAAACTTATAATTTGATTTTGTTTAGGATGTATGCAATTCATGAGTATCCACGAAATAAAACGAGCTCGTATTATCCTGCAAACATGTTCGTCCTTCTCTCTTCAAACTAATAAAGGGAATCGGTTGTATGAAGTTTCATGATTACTTTCTTGAATGACTAGACTTCTTAAAAAAAAAGGGGGGGGGTTAAAGTTAATAGGGAACAAAATAACGCAATAAAAATATCTCAAACATTGAATAAAAGACTTGAGAAAACAAAAAATGACATTGTATTTCTCCTGTTATAATCATAGTTCCTCCGTCAGCTATATATTAATCACAATGTGAACGGTAAAAGTTGAAGATATATCTTCCTGAAAACGGCTATTAAGTGTGAAACTACTAACTACTAACTACTAACTACTAACTACTACTACTACTACTACTACTACTATGATAGCGTTTTGATAAGAAATAATACACTAAAATGCCACACAAAGAAAAAAGAAAATTTCAAGTGAAGTGGAATCAAATCCGATGAATATTTGGGTTTTTCAATCAATTTGGCGTAACTCTACCAAAAAAGACCTACTAGTGTCAATCCCAATCTTGTTTCGAATACACCAATTATTATCATTACACTACATTTATGCAACAGTAGAACTGTTAACACTATTTAATTTGACATAGAGATGAAAAGGTGTGGTATGTAACCATTCCATTAAAGCATACTTTGAACAGAAACAAGTTAAACCCATGCGCAATGTCAGGCACATGTGAATGGATAAAATTTTGTACAAATTAGACATGATATGCATGAACAAGTTTTAAAATACATAAACATTCACTTCAGACAAATTTGGTAAAATACAGGGGATTACAAATCACACGTACATATTTAGATTACGAGATTTGATATGGAGATTAGATTCACTTTAACGTGAACTTCGTCACTAACCAAATTCAGTTAAACAATCAGGGAGCATTGAGTAGCTGTTTCCACCCTAGTTTCGGGCACCCACAACCCTATTAGGGACCGAACTCGGGACCTTCAGCTTACGAGGCCACGTCCGCTGAATGTTCATTCACCTGGAGCGGAATTCAGTGACTACTAGATTCCAACTTCAATTCATGATATAATGATTCCGCCTACCAATGAATGCTCTTATAACCTCAAGGTGCAAGGTCCGATCTCCGATAGGGTCGTGGGCGTGAACTGCTTAAGAGTCCCAAAACTTGGACGAAACAGCTGTTTAGTTTTCTTTGGTTTCGAATGATTCTCTAAATGATATCGGTACGTGACAAAATCTACACGGAAATATTTACATTTAATTAGACCATGGTCCTGAAGTAGATTGGGTATAGATGATCTAGTGTATATATAATTATTTGCTTGTGTGTGTCTGAAATATACATAAATGAAATATAATCAAAAACAAAATTTATTTACCAAATTCTTGATAATTCTAATGAAGGTAACTTTGATAATTCAAAAAAAGCTTTTGATTGTATTCCATTTAATTTTGAACGTATATCAGGTTGTAATCTAAGGAATTGAGATAAATAGTAAGCCTTTTGATCTGGTGTAACTGTCCATAGATCTGTGCCGGCTTGCTTCGATATAAGACAATTATTTTTTGCACTGTTTATGGAATTGAAAGTTGTTGCAACTGCAGAGGGAAGATTCAAAGGAGTAGTTTTAGACTGATTCGCTTCAACAACAGTTGAATGGTCTAAACTAGACCATTTAGTTGTATATGTATTACCAAGACATCGTATGTCTGTAGACTGTAGAGAATTATTGGCTTGTGAATAACCAGTTAAATTCCCATGATGTACAGATTCCTGTAAATAAAATTAACATATAAATCACAGAAGATAATAGTAAATATACATGTAAAAAGCAATATATTTTTTGTTGTTGTACCATCTAGTAACCATCTCCTGCACCAGCTGTGCATCAAAACGTAATCGGACAACACCAGTCTGCTTATTGTACCCTACGACTGTGACAAAGTTGCTAAACACGGATAACATGGAAAGATTATGGCTTCTGACAATATATGTCTACAAGAAACAGCTTTCCTGTGGGTAGAGCCTTGGGTCATTGGCCTAGGGGTTCGAACCCGGCTGCACTCAACAAGGTTTGGGCAGCCAGATAGTATAGCCCTTATACAATAGAGGTGAGGTTCATTGCAAACTCCATACAACCGCAAGTGGTTGTTGTGCAAAACAAGCTTCCTTATAGTAGATACACAGAGTCATTAATGTCGGGGTTAGCTAGTGAGCTTCATATGGAAAAAAGAAATTCAATAGAAAAAGTTATAAATCTGTATCAATTGAGAATTCTACGTCACTGTCATTCGGATATGGATACAGAAGAATTCATACATAAAAAGGAATTGAGCCAAGATATAATACTAATTCACGAATGTTTTTTAGGTGTTAATTTGATTCATACAGGTAACAGTAGACTACCAAATTAAAGGAATCGAGACATCCTGAATTGATAACTAAAGAAGGTAAGTGATAGTTCAAAATAAGTTACACTGAAGTGTACACGTTCCATCATCTTTTAAATCTCAAAACACTTTGATTTACTCAAACACTAAACCATGCTGTTGTGTCACTCTCATTCTTTTAGTATTTTTTTATTAGAGCTTGAAGCCACACAGTATTTTTGGTACAAGTATGGAATTTTCAGCATGTGATATCGGTTTAATTCATTTTCCTATGGTGGTAACATCTTTTACTAACTCGAATTGATACTACTGGTGTAAAAAGCCTCATTTTGGTCGATTTTCCTCATGGCATCTGCATATCCTAAATTCACTCCTCTGAGTTCGGAGTGTAACATAGGACTTCATGTTTTAGACTTTACAAGTATTGGTTTTGTAGGGATTTTGTGTTTGATTTGATGGAGGATTTCATCATGAGCTCATATCAGTTAGAAAACCAATGGAAAACCTGAGAGTACTGGACAGCTGTTCCATCCTAGTTTGGGAATCTTCATCAGTACGCACTCGCCGGGGTTCAAATTCAGGACCTTCTGTTTACAAAGTGAGCTTCGAGACCGTTGAGCCACTGGGACCCGATCCAAGTCCATGAATTCTAACTTCTGCCAATTCAAGACATAGCGCGACCGTTTCGTAATGTCTTCTTCGATGAGTTACTGTCTCATCTTTAACCTGCTGTACCCAACTGGTCACGGCTTCCCACTAGAACCCCAGGTTAACTGTCTGAATAGGGCCAGTCACTAGTAAGCATCAGATTAATTTTCAAATATTGGTTTTGTAGGGATTTTGTGTTTGATTGCATCGAGGATTTCATCATGAGGCTTTTGAATTTCCACAACGATGATTTGTTTTTAAGGGGTGGAGACACTAGTCTCACACACAACCTTCCCGCTCCTACTCGCTTACCACCGTTATGTGACACTTGGGAGTAAGTCTTTCAGCCAAGGATCGAAACTGGACCACTTGCAGTGTGGCTGACAAGCATCCTACCAATAAACCATCAATGCACACATGTATATATATATATATATATATATATTCCTTCACGTTCCCAGTGGAACATAGGGCTTAAAGCTAGAGGCTTGAGGTTTCTGTAGCAGTGTTCATTTTTACAGGATGAGGTTGCTAGCCTCATGCCCAACCTCTCCTCTTCACAAGCTTTATTTCTGGCTTAGTGAGGTAAAGGAGTGCGCCGGCTGGGGATCGAACTCCGGACGATATGCATGGTCGGCGAGCGTCCTAACCGCTATGCCACCGACGCACCATGTATATATTAACATATTAATATTTGCAAATCGGCTTCGTAAACCACACAGTTTCTTTAGAAGGCTTGACATCACACTTCTAACATAGATATGTAGATAGCGCGATCGAATCTTAGTGGTAGAATGTTAAGTGTTTACATCATTCAATCCGATCACATCTAGATTAGATTGGTGATGTGTAATTCTTATCAAGAATTTTCAATTGAAAAAAAAACACTTTAAGAGTGAACATTTTTCAATAAGAATAAAAATCTACTCCTAAAAGATCAAGCATTTGAACGAAATCAAGCAGACTAATAACACTATTAATATGCTTATCTTTGTTAGCTTATTTAGAAAGCTTGGAAAATGCAATGAGTTCCTGAGGTAAAACCGCCCTACAAAAAAGAAATGTTAAGGTAAAAACGGATAGTACAAGCACAGACTTTGCAGAAATAACTGTTCAAACCGTAGCACAAGATATGACTTCTCCTATCAAAGTGAAAGACAATCAATGAGTCTACTAAGCACAAGCTGTTCTTTCAGAATCATATTACAACATGGTTATAGGTCGATACTGAATATCAGATGGGTAGAAAGAATAGGCAACAACAAACTTCGGCAACGAACTAACCAAGAATCCATAGCCCAATAAATACGTAGAAGGAAATGCAGGTGGATTGGATATAAGCTGATGAAACCACTGAGTGACATCACACGCTAGGCCCTAAACCGGGAACCGAATGGGAAATGAATTGGGCATCCGAGGATGATATGGGGAAGATAGTATGAACAGGAGAAAATGAATGCTTGCGGGTCATCTAAAAGCCAGTTAAAGAGGACTGCAGGTAAAAGAGTGAAATGGATATCTGCTACTGAAGCCCCATGTTCCACTCTGAACCAACGAGAATAATAAATAATAGCTCCACATTCTCCTGTAAAACAATTAACTACAATCTGTAGAAAGTGTGCTATAACACTAAGAAATACAGTCGTACAGTTTTTGAAAAAGCGATAAGGAAAAAATTAAGTTTAGTCTTTTACTGAATTGACTCTCTTCCTTTTTACGACTTCATACGTTGCTTTCCAAGTCGTTAGGCATTTTGAAGATAATTAGCAAGCTATCCTGTATTTCAGTCGTTTTTCTCGTAAGCGAAACCACTGAACTGAAAAATTAATAAATAATACTTAACTCTACGATCCAATTGTTGAATGTAAAACTGACCAGTAGATATGAGAGAACTCGAAAACAATCTGCTTACAAAAAGTCCTTATCGAATGACCAACTAACAAATACTTATATCTAGATACCTATCTGAGTTCAAAGAGAGCCTCACTAGAAGCATCTGCAACACTAACTACCTCAGTATAAGAGCTCTCAATTCTCGAACAGATCCTGACTGAAAATCGATATCCAATACAGTTTCTGGAGAACATTAAATCAAATCCATAAAGAGAATACTATTTAGTCCCAAAGAAAATACAATACATGAACATGAACGTTAGAGAAGACTTAGGATAATCTGTAGCTCTTAAAAGAATACCTTCTTTGTAACAACGCTCAGAGTGATATCTTCCAGCTTTCCAATGCTTTTAAGCCATTTAAAGAACACACTCCATCATCTGATCACTTCACTGTATATATATATATATATATATATATATATATATATATATATATCAGTTCATTGACTCCTGTGGAGCCAGGTATAAGTCATTCTGTGCACGTCTCTTAAAAAGAATTAGAGGATACTAACCAAAATGGCATTGGTTCAATCAGAAGTGCTATTATAGTCCAGCACCTGTCACACACCAACTGACTAATCATTCACGTGAAGTTGTGGCTCCTAGGTATAGGTGCTCGACTTCTAACCAGTAGGTCACGGCTCCAAACTCCACTCCACCTACCGAGGTCTAGCAGCTAGAAAACATCACTAGCACTCACAGAATACGTGCTGCAACTGCAATGCAGTGCAGGTTGTTGAATGTCATTTCATATATATATATATATATATATATATATATATATATATATATATATATATGCCTTCTATAATTGAATTCCCTTAAATGCAACACTCACTCTTGTCACAACCAAAAAAGGAATAGACACAATCACAAATGTTCATAAAATCAACATGATTAGAAACGAAATAAAGAAACAATTTTTACGTACTAATTTTTCGGAGTTTATTTGTTGTTTAGGTAAATGATATGATGCAAAAGATGGTAATAATGAACCGGACAGATCATTTAACTGACCAGAAGTACAAGTAGGCGAAGTTAATCCTAAATTCTGATTAGTAGTTAGTCCTAAACTAGGAAAATGTGAATTTATCATCACCGTAGACTGATAAGAGAAAGATGGCGCATCAGTAGGGAAACAGCCTAAAAATGTATATGTAATAGAGAGAAAACAAAGGAAAATAATGAAAGGTAATTATATATATATATTATATAATCATATATATACATATACGATACCATTAATTATTAAAAAAATTTTTTAATTCTCCAAATGACTATGGGTAGTTTGGCGTGCTGTTGCGTTCATCGACCTGCACCGTGTAATTAAAATGTATTATTTGTCCTTGCGGACAGCATCTCTCGCACCAACTTCAATGTATAGAATATTGTATGCATGGTGAACCACAACTTCATCATCTGCCATAGTTTGTGCTATGAACATTGATTCAGTTGTATGGTTGGATTTCATATTAATGGGTTTATGAAGGCGTTGGACGTTGAGAGTGGAAGATATGAAGACGCCAACTGTCTACGACCACAAATGTGTGTGTGTATTCTATCTCACTTGTTAAATAGCATAATATGGTGAGAAATATTGACGTTAGGCGTAGAGTGCTACGTAAGGAAGGGAAGTCAGCCGATTAGGTTATTATTATTATTGCTCCCTAGGGTTCCAAGTGGAACATAGGGCTTCAACTGCACGTCTCCATTTGCTTCTGTCTTCTGCTGTACTTTTCACCTGCATCCATGTTAATCCATACTCTTTCAACTCCTCTTCACACGATCTCCTCCATGTCACCTTTGGACGTCCCACACGCCACTTCCCTTTTGGGTTCCACTCGAGCAATGGCCTCATGCGCGTACGATGTCACCCAGCGGTCTCCTCAGCGAGTGTCCGACCCATCTCCAGTTTCTCCTGCATATTTGTTGGGTGATTGGTTCCTGTTTTGTTTGTTCCCATAGTTCCTTGTTGGTGATTCTTTCCGGCCATCTGATCTTCAGTACAGAGCGAAGACAGTTGTTAATAAAGGTCTGCTACCTTTTGGAAATATTCTTTGTGACCCTCCAAGTTTCTGATCCGTATAGAAGAACTGACTGACTTGACGTTTGTATTGAAAATCCGAACGAATTTTGTTGTTGATGCTGAGTGACGAAGATTTCCAGATTGATTTCAGACTGATGAATGCGTTTCTCGCCTTCCCGATTCTCGCTCGATTTGACATCCTCGTCCATTCCTCCTCCTGTAGTTGACACAATGCTCCCTAGATAAGTGAATGAAGTAAACTCTTTCAAATTCCTTCTGTTGATAGTGATTGACGCTGGATGTTGCTGCTGTTGTTGTTGGTTGGTTATTTTCATCACCTCCGTCTTGTCTATGTTCACTTGGAGTCCTGTCTTTGCTGGCTGCTTCGACCAGTTTGTCGGTTTTCCCTTGTAAGTCTTCGATGTTGCGTGACATCAAACATAAATCATCCACGCGCGAAATCTAGGTCTTCTAGGTTCTTCGTGTCGGTCCAGGATATTCCTGTCTTCTCGTTTCCCACTGTCTGACGCATAATCCAGTCCACCACAATTAGGAATATCATTGGTGATAATAAGCACCCTTGTCTGACTCCTGTGTTTTTACTCCAAACGCCTCGCTGAGTTTTCCGTTGTGGATCACTTGACATGTGCCGTTGTCGTACAGCTGTTGAATAAGGTTGATGAATATTTGGGGTACGTCGTAGTCCTCGAGTAATTTCCAAATTACTTCGCGGTCAATGCTGTCGAAGGCCTTCTCAAAGTCTATAAAGTTGAGGTAGGGGTTTGATTGACATTCCATGCTTTGTTCTGTGATGATGATGCGTAGAGCTGCAATTTGGTCAGTACATGATTTGCCTTTCCTGAATCCAGCTTGTTCTGGTCGGAAATCTGTATCCGGTGGGTCCTTTATTCTCTCCAGGATGATGCGACTCAGGATTTTACTTGGCGTCGACAGGAGCATGATTCCTCGTCAGTTCTTGCAGAGTCCTAAGTTGCCCTTCTTTGGTAGTTTCACAAGGTAACCTTTCCTCCAGTCAGTAAGCACCTTTCCCTCCTTTCAGACCTTTAGCAATAATGGAGTCAGCATATCTGCTGTAGTCTCTGGGTCCGCTTTCAGTGCTTCAGGGGGTATTCCATCTGGTCCAAGTGCTTTTCCAGCTTTCAGAAGCTTGATTGTATTCAAAACTTCAGCTTTCTTTGGAGAATCGTTGTCAACTTGCAGTAGTGTGCGCGCTGTTGTTAGTATTTCTGGACGGGTTGCAGGTAATGGTCGGTTCAAGAGTCCTTTGAAGTAATCCGCCCATTGTTTAATCTGTTTTTCTTCCTTGGTGACTGGGTTCCCTTGGCTGTCTTTTATAGGATTCTCTTCCTGGATACAGATTTGGTTATCTGATATACTGTCCTCAGGTCTCTTTTGCTTGCTGCCTTCTCAGCTTCAGTGGCGAGGTTGTCGCAGAATCGTCTTTTGTCCTTCCTAGCACTCTTCTTTGACCAGTGCTGTGTAGGTTGAGCTCAGCGTCTCCTTCTCCTGTCCGTCCTTGCATTGAATCATTTTCTCTTTCACCACCTCCCTCTCTTCTATTAATTTCCAAGTGTCCGTTGAGAGCCATTCCTTGTCTTGTCTCTTCTTTCTTCCTAGAACCGTTGAACACGTTTCGTTGAGAGTCGCCTTCAGAGAGTTCCAATGTTCTTCCACGCACGATTCCTCTGTGATGTCATGTAGTGTTTCCTGCTTTGCTCTGACAGTTGCAGTGAAAGTGTCCTTTGTGGTTGTGTCCTTCAGTAATTGAGTGTTGAACTTGCATTGTGGCCTATCCCCAGCTATCCTCGAGGCTTTTAGTTTCACCTTGAAAGTCCCTTGTACTAGATAGTGGTCTGAACCCACATCTGCTCCTGATTAGGTTATACAGTTAGCTAAATTAAGATGGATAGTGTTGTGAACTTTTCTTATAATACGTATCTAATCATATTCATATTTCTACCGCTATTAACACTCTTTTTCCCTTTATACGTTTAAGCCATTCCGGCTTCATTGTAAAATGAATAAAGCCTAAATTCTTGGTTCATTCGTCTTTTCAAGATTCACGCACCACTCATCGTTCTAAGACTCAGTTTCCTTCGTAACAGATAGGACATGTGTTACGAAAACCGAGTCATCCCCTTCCTCGACAGTCAATGTTAGCTGATATAGGATTACTCTGGAAAAGTCACGGATGGCCATACCAAAGGATGGCATCAATTCATGGAGCCTCACTGTTGGTTCGAGTCAAAAAGGAAGGTGTAGACTGCTTGGCTAGCGTCCTGCTGATGCCAAGAACCAACGGTTGAAAGCTAAAATCCATTCTCAGAGGTGCAGATGTATTCACCATTTGTAATCTCTTAGATCTAATGAACCCTAATGTGTTTCCATGCTAATGTTCTTTCTGCTATACATTTCTGCCCATTATAGTTCATCTGAATCGCTTTTTCCCTTTTTTTTCTCTACCTTTGTTTTATGTGGCGTGGCAACTTGAACTTTTGTACAGCGTTCTATTTCGAAACTCAGTCTGTTAGACAGTTTTGCTGGCATGACAAAAAGCAGTCATAATATCAATTTTCATATTACAGAACAGTAGATCAGTAGCAACTAGCTCGTCATGAACACTGCTTTAATTGGAACCAATGCCACCTAGTACATCAGGAAATATGCCAGTCGAATTATGAAGATATAAAAATAGAAAGAAAGCATAAGAATGACTGAAGTCAGGGTAACAATCATGTAAAATATATCTTAAAGCCTGACTGCTGTTTTAGTGCCGTTTTCAGACATAGGAAGCTCATAAAATAAACACCCTCGTTGGTCCGTTCACGCCGCCGAAGCAGCTTTCAAACAATAAAAATTCAAAGATATATTAAACGGATAGACCTAACAGACAATTCTACTCGCTTATCACTTGGTTGTGAAAGAAGGAAATGCTGTTTCCCATTCAGTCTTCATAAGACTTTTTGCCGCGCGTGCTTTACGCAGCTTAGGTACTAAAGACTTTAGAAGAGTAATTACCGATAGATAGGACAGATAGGAAAACGGAAACTCCAAAACCCAAATATCTCACCGTGACTAACAATATGAAAACCACTTATCCAGTGTATGCTTCTTACGTACTAGGCCAAAAGCTAAGTGCGACGTGCAAGGGTATAAGATACTAGTCCCTTAATCAGGATCAGATAGGTATAACGGAGCATGATTCCCGAATCAATTGGCTAGTCGTTTAAGTGAATGAATTAAATGAGATGAAAAAGTATAATTTATTATTAAGCGTGTAATCATCTGATACTTCTACACTGCAAACACTATAGGGGCTGCCTAAGGTGGTGTTAATGTCAAATTAGTATGAACAACTGACAGGATAATATGTATTCCATTGCTCTTCCGTACCTTGGTAATTAACAGCTGATTAACTCTACACTTCAGTATTACGGCTTCTACAACTGACTACCATTTTAATTAGTTAACTTACACAGGGTAAATAAGATGAAATTTTATTCCTGCGAGATGCATTTCATTTCTTTTGTAAAACACGGAACTTCAGCCAATCATCCATAGTGTCTTCTTCTCCTACTTGTAATGTCAAGTCAGTTATAAAAATACATGTATCCGGATCAACAACTCACAAGAGACGAACAGCTACACTTGCAGAGTAGATTATGTATGAATCTATAAAATATAGAGTGACCACAAATTTCAAGAATTCATGAAAATAGAGATGACAGTCGTAGTAAGTTGTACAAAAGGCAAATTCTGTTTCATGTATATACCGAAAATTCTGAGAATAGAACTTACAATAAGGAGCGGAATTAGGGACGGAAAGAGTTTCCTTAATAAAACAACTGTCGTTATCATCATCAAACTGAGCCCATGATTCTTGACCATGGCGTACTTGTTCCATTTTTACAAATGACGAGGACCAACAAGCTACATTACCAAAAATCTGAAAAACAAAATTTGTCTTATTACCATACAGTTGACTAATTTAGAGTTGGAAAAATGTTTTGTGTATAAGATGTATACACCAATAAAAATCATCAGAGTTCGATTTTTTCAGTCATCAATGAATACTTATGAATATATAACCCAACTTAATCAACACAATATATACTCATAGGAAAGAAACGGATGTAATGAAATTTGATAGCTAGTTTTCATGCACTTGCTGGTGTACGGGGTGACATTCGAACCTAGAAAACAAAATCCTTTAATTGATTGGATTCTAGTAAACGGCCAACTGTCTAATACGATCAAATGAGTGTTTGAGGACATAATCATATACTCCACTTGTAACTCAAGGAACGAATAATAATGAACAATATAACTCTCCAAATGGTGTTTGTGTTACGCGAATTTATTGCATGTATGGATTTTGTATTGGAATCTACTTTTAGACACGTCCGCTGTCCACAGTTGAACGAATGTTTACTAAAAGCATTGCTTAGAATCATACTCAAAGGTTTGTGATATGTTCTCTAGGTGTATCAAATTTGTTCAGCGTACGCCTAGTGCAATCATGGAACTCCCTACCGGAACACGTCGTATCAGCGCCATCCGTTGATTCATTCAAGGCGAGATTATACCTCCTGTATGCAATAAATCGAAAGGATTAACACAGGCATATAGCCTACTATCCTAAATAAATTGTAAACTGTAAACATTACAAGGGTAAGTGAAGCCAAAATAATAATAAGATAATGCTAGTAAAAGCTGAAATGTCATATACGATAAGTGTCAGAGCAACTTCTACGCAAAATGGAAGTTCCTTCTAGCTTTAAACGCTATCCACTTTGGTCTAAAACGGACCAGCATTATTTCTGCTCATCATACCTGGTTCAGCATTACTGTAGGTAGGGAATAAGAGCTGAAATAAATGAACGCATGAATGACCTGAAAGTAAAATAACAGCATCAAATCATTCTCAGAATTAAATGTACGATGAAAAGTTGGGAAGGTTTGGCACTCGACTATAAGATCAAATTTGCGGACTATGGTCCGCAAAATATATATCAAGTTCACAATACAGTCACTGATTGATTTCATCCAGGGCTTTATTTTATCCGAGCTTATTTTTGTGTTTGAGGTATAAAGAAAAATTTTGGTGAAACGTCCCTAACACTGTAACAAAACACTTACAAAATAACTTACAAAATTAAACAACTATGAGAGAGGATAGCAGCACAAATAGCTAACGGAGAGGCTGAGCACTTGAAGGTCACTTACGCACGCTGTGATTGGTAGATCTGTGGAGTACGTGAAAATATGACTGTACACTTTTTGTTAGTTGTAAAACTAGAGACATTGTACATGATTTTTGTTTAAAACGATTCTTGTTTTATTACATATAACCTCCGCGTTCAATTCGAAATACACTGCACTTTTGGAAGAGTGACGATATAGGCTATAACCAGGTGTTCAATATCCAATATCCAATATCGTTTTTACGAGCTAGTATAAACCAATTTGATTTCTTTGTGCTCGCTTCTTGATTGTGAGGTATAGGTTCTTGATCTTCGGTAAACTTCTGCGTAGCTTGTCCCGCCACTCGACTGTCGTAGCTTTGGTTGACTCCAAAGGGAGTAGTGCTGGGATTAATTATATGTGGTTTGTAGTATGAGGTATGTTAAGACTGTTACTACTGTGATTGGAGTTGATCCTTTCGCCAGTTAGTCCTTCGGTATTGTCGACAAGAGAAAAGAGATAGTAATAATAATAATAGTAATAATAATAATAATAGTAATAATAATAATAATAGTAATAATAATAATAATAGATATAATTAGTGAAGCTATTCAGACTAAGAGACAGAAACGAAAATAGGAAACGTAACAACAGTCAGCTCATGAAGTTTGAAGAATAATATATATATCAGTAATAGTAATAATAATAATAATAATAGTAATTATAATATTAATAAGTTGTCAGGAGAGTAAGACGGGAGAGAATGTAAAGAAGTAAAATGACGAGTTTAATTATCTACCCTGATTGGTAAATGCGATTTTAAGGAGATAGGCCATTTGGATGCAGTCCTTGTATCGCTGCATGGTTGTCAAGCCTTCGCTTAAAGGCGTCCAAAGACGGTGCCATATCTACATCTGCCGGTAAGGAATTCCAGGGACGACAAACACGCAGTGGTGAGCTATCCTTCTGGGATTTCCACGTGGAAGCCTATACCTACTCAATGGCAGAACACTTTTGTTTGGGTGATTCTGGTCATTTGTTATTTTGTAGGCAGTAATCAAATCCCCCCTCAGCCGACGGTAACTAAGTGTGAACAGGCCTAATTTCTTCAGCCTTTCATCATATGGTTTGTTTCGGAGACCAACCACTCCTTTTGTTGCCCGTCGTTGGACTCTTTCCAAGAGGTTGGCATCTCTTCTCAGCATTGGGGGTGCAATAATATTATGCACCTCAAGGTGTGGCCTGACGTATGTTTTGTACAACATTAGTTGAGCTCAAGAGTGACTGCACCTAACTGTCTATGCGTAAAGTGTATGACCGCATATGCCCTCGCTACATCCCTTGTGTAATTTACGCTTGTGTCCATTTTTTCCGTTAGAACTAGACCTAAGTCGCGTTCCGACGTTGTGCAGGACAAGCTTTCATTGCACAGGGTGTAACTTGCATTCTGCAGTCTACAGGTGCGCAACTTCACTACTTTGCACTTTTTCAAGTTGAAAGTCATGCCACTGGCCACCGCCCAGTCTTCCAGAAGGTTTAGGTCTTCCTGTAGCCTATCTGAGTCCTCCGGACACTTTATTGCCCTCCATATTTTTACGTCGTCAGCGTACAGGAGAGTCGGGCAGCTCAGACGGCGTGGTAGATCATTGATGAAAATCAAAAACATCAGTGGTCCTAGGATAGAACCCTGCGACACTCCTGATGACGATCTGTGCCAAGATGATCGGACTCGGTTAGCCTTAGTGCATAATTGCCTGTCGGCTAGGTAGTCCTTTAACCATGACAGAAGTGGCTCACCTATGCCTGCCTGTCTTATTTTATGTAGCAGAAGGTCATGGTGAACAGTGTCAAATGCCTTCTCAAAGTCTAGGAAGACCACATGGACTGGTACGTTCAAGTCCCAGCATGATGTCCAGTCGTCCCGAGCTGACAGTAGGTTAGTGACGCAGGATCTGCCTTTTCTGAAACCATGTTGGGCTTCATGTAGTATATTAGTCCTATCGAAATGTTCCCTGATGTGGTCGTCAATAATACTTTCCAGTACTTTTGATACCACTCGGAGTAGAGCTACTGGTCTATAGCTAGCAGCGTTTTGCCTGTCCCCACCCTTGAAGATTGGAGAAAGGATGGCTCTTTTCCACTCCCTTGGCAGGGTCCCCGAATCCATTGAGTGTTGGAACAAGTCGCACAGGGGTCTACAGAGAGCCTCGGCGCACTGTTTCAGAACAGATGGCCTGATGTCATCACAACCTGGGGACTTCCCAGGTATGAGTCGCTGTAGCTTCCTTAGTACTATTGCGGGGTTTATTTGGGGAGTAGTCGCTAGGTCTTCCTCCTCTGAAATAGTGGTGCCACCATTTTGGTCCGTAACTGTAATATCCACATTGCTGTTTAGCTGTTTAGCGAAGGCTGAACTGAATGTTTCAGCCATCTCCAGACTAGTGAGATATTGACCGTTTGGACCTACTAAGGCGCATGCCCCTTGGTTTGTCGGTTTTCTTTCCGACATGAATCGGTACAAGTTTTTAGGGTTTGATAGGAATTTTTAGCAAGGTTAGCCTGGAATGACCTTCTGTCCCTCCTAACTCTTGCATTACACCGGTTCCTGAGTTCGAGGTATGCATCATGGTCGGTCTGACTCTTAGATACACGCCACGTAAACCAAGCCCTCCGCTTTGCTTGCAGAATACGTTGCGTGCCTCTCTTCAACCATGACGTCTTTCTCCTAGGCTGTGTTGTGACTAAAGGGACGGTATCCGAGATTGCTGCATGGATAATCATTTTTACCACTTCCCAGTGTTCATCCACAGATAGGTCGTCCCATGCTAAGGGCCAGTCTGCGTCGGACAAGAGCCTCCGCATTTCAGCATAGTCAGCCTTGCTGTAGCACAGACATGGTCGCGTAACATCCCATTGCAAACGCTCACGGAGGACAAGATCGAAACCTATGACTGCATGGTCACTGCTTCCCAGAGGAGTCATGATCTGGACCTTTACGACGAGTAGCTGGTCGCTAGTTAGAATATAATCTAGTTTTGATGACTTTCCACTAGGGCCCCACCTAGTGTCGTCTCCAACATTCTCAGTCAGTCCCGTGTTTCGAATAGTTTGCAGTAGGTTTCGGCCAAATTTTCCCTTAGCACACCCGGAGCCGAGGTTCAGTGATGGAGCATTGAAATCTCCAGCTATGGTGATTTGGTCGTAACCCAAATCTCGTATTCCTGTGATAGTGCTGAGCAGTAGCTGATTGTGCTCTGCCCCACAGGTGGGAGATCGGTAGATGCCACCCAGTAAGTGCTTGGTGTGGCCTACGGTGAAATGACACCATATGGAGTCTGGGAGTTCGATAAGTTCTGTTATCAACCGGGATGACCGAAATATTCCATAACACATCGACGACATCATGCGATGAATGAGACAGGCTGCTGAATTTCCTGGTGATTATATCTATTTTGATGAAGTTCCTAGTTAAAAGTGCTTGGGCAAAGATGTGATAATAGTTTAATTGACATTCGCACATGGAATTTCAGCAGGCCTTAATTGCTCAGTTCATGAAATGGCATCAGAGTATATTGACATCAGTGTTCATCGTGTCTCGAAGAATAGTATAAATAGTCCTTCTCAAATGTCAGAGTACTTAAAATGAGTATCAGCTTTCTGTTGAGTAGTAGCTAGCACCTGTGTCATACAACTACTACACCTGTTAAATAGGTTATATCAATCTTAATAATTATTTTGTTTCACATCACTAGGATATTCTGAGGTCCTTAATGACTTAATTGTGGCTATGAAAGATGTGAAAGATGCACTTATGGCTCATATATTTAACGCAGTTATTATTAAACAAGTTATCTGTAAGCAACTTGTGATGTTCTGAATACTGCAAACTGTTGATAAGAGACTGCATCAAAGGAAAAAATGCCGAAAAGCTAGAAAATACTACTGCAGTTTCGTTGGTTATTACCTTTTGGATTTGTAGCTCATCCTTCCAGCGTTCCAAGGACATAGCGCTTAGCCAAATGTACAGTGTTCATTGTGAAGGGTTTACAATTTAACTCTTATCATAACCTGTTCTAATTACTCGTACAATAGTTGAACGACTTAAACTTTTGAAGATGCACTAATTTATGATACTTCACGATTGCAGTTTATAACGTAACTTATTGCGCCTGTAGAAATGACATGCATTCTTTGTAAACATTGGTTTATACGACATATGAAATTATTATTATATGCTTGCTGCTATCCTTTAGAAGATGAACGATGTGTGTGGTAGTGAAAACCACAGAAGAATGCTGTCATGAACAAAGAATGAGAAAGGAGAATGAACCATTTTCAGCAAAGATAGGCAAATCTAAAGTGTTTAACTTTGATATTACTTCTTTCTTACTTCAGTGATTTAAAAAACACTTTGTTTACTTATTTGTAGATATCCGGTAACGTAAGTCAACCCGGTCACAGAGATTCGACATTGCCCAAATTATTACGGCAAACAACTGCGTAAAGACATTTGCTTGTTATTATTTTTCATTAAATATATCTAACATCCTGCTTACCAGACCTTTCTTATTCTATCTGAGCGTAGATATATTTGTCATGATGACTAGATGCAGGCATGACTTATTAATGAGACCTGATGAAGTAATTATTGGCATATTTTAGTGTCAGCTAAATCTAAATACGATTGCTAAAGCTGAACGAATTCAATAATTTGTCTCGTGTAGACTTAAATTTACGCTACATGTTAACAGCCTTAGTCATATGGATTGACATCACACTTTAAGTGAAACACTAGTAATGCAATACTTTAGAATACACGTAACCGTATAAGAACTGGAACTCTAATGCAGTGCCTAAGTTATGCCTACTATTGTCATTTGTCCCTAAAGACTTCTATATGACTATGAGACGTATCCAGGTAACTTCACTAAAATAATTATAATTTAACACGTATGACGACCGACATCGTTCCTACGCAATTACACTTACG